CCTCTGGACTGCTGGAAACTTTCCTGATGTGGCAGGCCCTTGAATTTTTATCTCCAACTTTCTGGCCCACATATGTCTAGGGCACCTAAAGGGATTGTAGTTTCCTGCACATAGTGTCCAGTTAGCATAATGGCATCAATTGAGTGTATTCTCTGTGCTAGCAAGACTATCAAAGTCCCTTTGGACCTAGCAGTTTGCAGGAGAATGGCAATAATCTAAGGACAAGACAGTAAAGGTATACTGTTATCCTGGCTAGGTAAAAGCAAACAGTGTCATTTCCTATACTCATGGGAAAGTAAGAGAAAGCACTTACTAGTTCAATAGCCACCCAGAGTTGCTGCTGGGGTTTTCATTGATTTTCTCCAATAAAGATCTCAAATCTAGAATTGCAGCAGTGTGGGATTTCCCTTAACCAATTGACCAATTGGTGAAGACTCTGAACTCCCAATGCAGGGAGCCTGGGTTCAATCACTGGTCAGGGAACTAGATCCCACATACTGGAACTAAAAGATTGCATGCCGCAATAGAGACTGAAGATTCTGTGTGCTGTGGCTAAGACCCAACACAAGCAAATAAATGCATAAATAAATTAAAAAAATACTTTGTTGTTGTTGTTCAGTCACTAAGTGGTGTCCAAATCTTTGTGACCCCAAGGACTGCAGCACGCCAGTCTTCCCTATCCTTCACTATCTCCCTGAGTTTGCTCACACTCATGTCCATTGTTCAATGATGACATCCAACCATCATATCCCCTTCTCCTCCTGCCCTCAATCTTTCCCCACATCAGGGTCTTTTCCAATGGGTCAGCTCTTCACATCAGGTGGCCAAAGTATTGGAGCTTCAGTATCAGTCCTTCCAATGAATATTCGGGGTTGATTTCTTTTAGGGTTGACTAGTTGGATCTCCTTGCTGTCCAAGGGACTCTCATGAGTTCTTCAGCACCACCTGAAGTGGTTTGAAAGCAACAGTTCTTTGGTACGTAGCCTTCTTTATGGTTTAAAATAGAATTGCAGCTGTTATTGCCACTGCCACATCACTAAGTTTGCTTTTTCCACCTGCAAACAGGTAGGAATACGACTGGAATCACCACTACTCTTGCAGCTCTCAAACCCTTAATGGTGGCACTAATCTCTGCAGTTCCTTCAAAGTTGTGTTATCACTTCTGGTTTACAACTTGGTGGAGGAGGGGACAATTCCAGGGCTTTCCTCTTGGTCTTTTTTGCCATATTCATCCACACTGCAGTGGCAGGGAACCAATGGGAGTCTGCCAGCTACTGAGCACTAATCTCACAATCAATTCTGGGATGGCAGGGGGTGAGGTGGGGGGGACAACCACAGCATGAATCTGAGGGCCTCAGGAATGTGCCCTTTCATCTCTAAAGCCGTTTGGTGCTAATTGGTCTCCATGGGTAATAATTTTCAAATTAACATCTGAAACTGCAGTGAATTTGTACTATGTCATTTTAACTAAGCTGGATTTCCCAAAATTCTCTTCCCTGCATAGTTCTGTTAATGTGGGCCACAAGTGACATTTTGTGTAAGATTTGGAAAGTAGAAGTGAAACAGGAGTTGTATCCTTTTTCCATGAGGCAGGTTGGTGCAGGGGCCCCAGAAGTGGTGGCACCTCTCTCACAGTGACCCTCATTTGCTGGCTCAGCATGTTGGCATCAGGCAATAGCTGAGTCCACAGCTCCTCCTGCTTCTGCTACTCTTGTTCCAGGTGCACGTTCAGCTCCCGGATGGAGTGCCAGCTTCTCCTGTGAACCGTCTGCTTCATTAAAGTTAGAGGCTTAGGTGCAGTGAGAGACTGATTGGGTTCTGGTCCATCCTGTGGGTGCTAGCTAGTCCTCACAGGTGCCGTTTGTTCTTGCTTCCCTCACCTCACATCACATGCTTTCCAACAGTCTGCCCGCTGTCTTTGAGCTCCAGCACCAGGAACAAAAACAGCAGTTTTCTATGATCAGCCCTCACAATTACGCAGGGTCTTATCCCTAGGATACATCTTGACTACACATAATCATTCCCAGTAATTTTGTTTCTCTGATTAAATCCTGGTTGATACAGTAACCTTATTTTTTCTTAATGTTTTTATTTGTTTGTTTTTGGCTGTGCTGGGTCTTCATTGTTGCAGGGGCTTTTCTCTAGTTGTGGTGAGCAGGGGCTACTCTTTAGTTGCAGTGCAGTGCAGAGCTTCTCATTGTGGTGGCCTCTCTTGTACAGAGCACAGGCTCTAGGGCATGTGAGCCTCAGGAGTTGGAGCACAAGGGCTCAGTCATTGTGGCTCACCGGCTTCATTGCCCCTCAGGATGTGGGATCTTTCTGGATCGGGGATTGAACCCACGTCCCCTACATTGGCAGGTGGATTCTTTCTTTTGGGGCTCACCATATGGCTTGTGGGATCTTAGTTTCCCAATCATAGATTGAACCCAAGTTATCAAACTTTTGATCTCTATGACTCTTGTAGGTAAAAAATAGGTTCAGTTCAGTTCAGTTCAGTCGCTTAGTCATGTCTGACTCTGCAACCCCATGGACTGCAGCACACCAGGCCTCTCTGTCATCACCAACTTCTGGAGCTTACTCAAACTCATGTACATTGAGTTGGTGATGCCATCCAATCATCTCATGCTCTGTCGTCCCCTTCTCCTTCTGCTGTCAATCTTTCCCATCATCAGGGTCTTTTCCAGTGAGTCAGTTCTTCGCATCAGGTGGCCAAAGTATTGGAGTTCCAGCTTCAGTATCAGTCCTTTAAATGAATATTCAGGACTGATTTCCTTTAGGATGGACTGGTTGGATCTCCTTGCAGTCCTAGGGACTCTCAAGAGTCTTCTCCAGCACCACAGTTCAAAAGCATCAATTCTTCAGCACTCAGCTTTCTTTATGGTCCTACCCTCACATCCATACATGACCACTGGAAAAACCATAGCCTTGACTAGACGGACCTTTGTTGGCAAAGCAATGTTTCTGCTTTTTAATATGCTGTCTTAGTTGGTCATAATTTTTCTTCCAAGGAGCAAGCGTCTTTTAATTTCATGGCTGCAGTCACCATCTGCAGTGATTTTGGAGCCCCCCAAAATAAAGTCTGTTACTGTTTGCATTGTTTCCCCATCCATTTTCCATGAAGTGATGGGTCCAGATGGCATGATCTTAGTTTTCTGAATGTTGAGTTTTAAGCCAACTTTTTCACTCTCCTCTTTCATCAAGAGGCTCTTTAGTTCTTCTTCACTTTTTGCCATAAGGGTGGTGTCATCTGCATATCTGAGGTTATTGATATTTCTCCTGGCAATCTTGATTCCGGCTTGTGCTTCCTCCAGCCCAGTGTTTCTCATGATGTACTCTGCATATAAGTTAAATAAGCAAGGTGACAATATATAGCCTTGACGTACTCCTTTCCGTTTGGAACCAATCTGTTGTTCCATGTCCAGTTCTAACTGTTGCTTCTTGACCTGCATACGGATTTCTCAGGAGGCAGGTGAGGTGGTCTGGTATTCCCATCTCTTGAAGAAAATTAAAAAACACTTGCTCTTTGGAAGGAATGCTATGACAAACCTAGACAACGTATTAAAAAGCAGAGAAATTACTTTGCCGACAAAGGTCCATATAGTCAAAGCTATGGTTTTTCCAGTAGTTATGTACAGATGTGAGATTTGGACCATAAAGAAGATTGAGTGCTGAAGAATTCATGCTTTCCAATTGTGGTGTTGGAGAAGACTCTTGAGAGTCCCTTGGACTGCAAGGAGATCAAACCAGTCAGTCCTAAAGGAAATCAACTCTGAATATTCATTGAAAGGACTGCCACTGTAGCTCCAGGAGTTTGACCACTTGATGCAAAGAGTTGACTCACTGGAAAAGACCCTGAAGCTGCGGAAGATTGAATGCAAAAGGAGAAAGGGGTGGCAGAGAATTAGATGGTTAGATAGAATTACTGCCTTAATGCATTTGAATTTGAGCAAACTCCTGAGATAGTGGAGCGACAGAGGAGCCTGGTGTGCTGCAGTCCATGGGGTTGCAGAGCCAGACAGGACTTAGCGACTGAACGACAACAATCTCTTGAGACTTCTCCGGTCTTTAACCTGGCCTCAGGCGGTCTTCTCTGGAATGAAGAACGCTGATACCTGCCATTTACTGGGGGTTTTAATTCTATAAAGAGCTCAAAAGATACCGTTATGTGTACCCTTTGAGGTGGAACCAGGACCCTGCCCCAAGGCTGCTGGTCCTCTCTTGTCTCTGCATCTCCTACCTTGTTTGATGAGCAACTGTTCAAAACTGCCCTTTGGAACTCAGGGAAGGTCATGGAGGGTCTGCTGCTTACAAACAAGAAACGAGGGACATGGAAAGGCTTTTATGTCCAGGAGCCCGAAGATCCTGCTCAGTTTCACTGGGTCCCCATTCTCATGGCAACAGCCACATCTATTAGGCATCTGCCTCATCCTCAAAGTACAGGGAAATGGCTTTTAATGACTGACATACAACATGCACATTTTAAAATATTTTATTTAAAAAAGGAAAACCAAACAAAAAGCCCACCCCAAGAACTTCTGGCTCTGGGGGTCTGGGAGCAGCTTAGGTCTGTTAGAAGGGTGGAACCTGGAAGACAGACAGTGTGGGGGCCTCTGACCCCTGGCAGAAAGAGCAAGAACTCAGGAGGCTGACGGACAGAGTAGCCTTTCCCAGAGCTCAGCCCCTGTCTGTGGCATGGACTCATCCACTTGGAAAAGACAGGTGGAAGGGTCCTTAATCCCCTTAAGAAGGCAGGGTGGGCAGTTCTGAACGGGCCTGAAATCTCTTGGCAAAGCCACTATCCAATTAGGACAAAGGAGAGAGTGGCCCGGGGTTCTATTGGGCCTACACCTTCCTGGGAGGTGGGCTCAAAACAGGGAGATGCGCCCCCACTTACTGCTGCAGCCCCTTTCGGGAGAAAGGGCCCTGATGCGGTGGGACCCGGAGGCAGCCCTAGGAAAGACCCTGGTGGGCAGGTCAGGGGCCAGACTCCCACGCGGAGCTCAGTGGCCTGGGCGCAGCGCCCGGATGGGCCGAGGAGGGGGATTGTCTAGGACCGGTTCGGGCCGGAGGCGCATGCCGCCTCGACGCTTCTGCTTGCGCAGCAGGTAGCTTGAGTACTGCACCTCGGGCATGGCCAGCTTGAGGCAGGCCTCGGTGGCTGGACCGGCACGGCCGCTGGGCAGGTCGTAGCCCATGATGTCCACCTTGCGGCTGGGTTGCCACGGCTGCAGCTGCTTGGTGCGGATCTGGGCCGCGGGCCGCAGCACCGGCTCGTCGCCAAAGCAACGCCGCAGCAGGCGTTCTCGGGCCTCGCGCAGCTCGCGCGCCTCGCGCTCCACGCAGGCGCGGCCGGCACTCGCCACGCGGCGCCAGAAGGTGGCGTTGAAGTGGTCGTAGAGGCCGGCGTCGAGCGCGTTCCAGGCGCGCGCAGCTCGCGCGAGCGCCGCGGGGATGGCGGCGAGGCGCGAGCTGGCGGCGCGCGCGTTAAGCCTGGCGTAGAGCACGTCTTCCAGGTCCCAGGCCAGCAGGCGCCGCAGCAGCACGAGCGACTCGTCGAAGTACTCGGCGATCATGACGAGCGAGAAGACCTCCTCCACCTGGCGGATGAGGCCCGCCAGGTAGGCGGCGTCGTCGCGGGGGCTGCGCTCGTTGTCGCCGCCCAGGTCGTAGGCCAGGGTGTTGTGCGCGAACATGGCGAAGTGCTCGCCCGCACGGTAGTAGGCCTCGGGCGCGCGCAGGAAGGCCTCGAGCGACGCGTTGGGCACGCGCCGGAAGGCGGGGCAGTACTGGTTGTAGTAGCTGAAGAGCGACTCGAACATGGCGGCCGGCTCGCGCAGGATGGTGACGTAGACGGTGCCCGGCGGCATGAGGCGCTGCAGCTCCGCGCGGTCGAAGCGCAGGTGGCTGGCCAGCACGTGTGGCGGCCGCGTGGCCGGGTGCACGAAGTGCGCCGAGAAGTTACGCGGGTAGCAGAACTGGTGCTCGCAGCTCGGGTGAGGCAGGGCCACCGTCAGGTTGTGGCGCTCGGCGAAACGGAACAGGATGTTCTGCACCGTCGTGCCCGCAGTCTTGTGAGTCTTCAGAAAGGCCACGGTCATGTGCTTGGGGCGCGGCGGAGAGTCCTGCAGAGGCGGGCAGCTCAGAGGGAACAGCCTGGGGTACCTGCAGGGTCCGGCATGTGCAGGGAGGAGGGTGTGAGAGGGTACTGCTCGACCTGGCCTCTCCCCAAGAATGGTGGGGATGGGCCCAGGGCGTTACCCACAAAACAGTACACAGATGTATGGTACGCAGCATCTAAGGTGACCACCCTTCAGGGATTCCCTGTGAGAGGGTAACAGGCAGGAAGGCCAGGGGTCTCCAAATGGAGGAAATAGGCTGCAAGTGTCAGACTTTTTTTTTTTTTTAATCTCTCTAGCGTCTGCTTACAATGTGGGAGACCCGGGTTCCATTCTTGGGTCAGGAAGATCCTCTGGAGAAGAAAACGGCAACCAACTCCAATATTCTTGCCCGGAAAATATCATGGACAGAGGAGCCTGGTAGGCTATAGTCCATGGTGTCACAAAGAGTTGGACATGACTGAATGATTTCACTTTCATTTTAAGCAGCAGGAGGAAACAAACTAGTGTTATATGTTTTCCCCTTCTCTATACAAAGTTAAAAAGAGGTTTCTCTTAAAATACTGTGTTGCCATAATGACAGCTGGTTCCACCTGAACTTAACAGTTTCTCAAATCTTGAGCTAACCAATGCATTTTTTAATGGAAATGTTTGTCTTAAGCTATGTTAATGTACTATGCATTTACCCTAGACTGTATCTTCAAGTCAGTTCCGCCTGAAAGCTCAGATTTAGGCTCAGAACCGACTTGACAAACCAATATGTTATACTCAGACATTGTTCTCATAATCTATGTAAATGAAATTATTGTTTTTCCTGTAGTCATGTATGGATGTGAGAGTTGGACTATAAAGAAAGCTGAGTGCTGAACAATTGATGCTTTTGAACTGTGGTGTTGGAGAAGACTCTTGAGAGTCCCTTGGACTGCAAGAAGATCCAACCAGTCCATCCTAAAGGAGATCAGTCCTAGGTGTTCATTGGAAGGACTGATGTTGAAGCTGAAACTCCAATACTTTGGCCACCTGATGTGAAGAGCTGACTCATTTGAAAAGACCCTGATGCTGGGAAAGATTCAGGGCAGAAGGAGAAGGGGACGACAGAGGATGAGATGGTTGGATAGCATCACTGACTCGATGGACATGAGTTTGGGTAAACTCCGGGAGTTGGTGATGGACAGGGAGGCTTGGTGTGTTGTGGTTCATGGGGTCGCAAAGAGTTGGACACAACTGAGCGACTGAACTGAACTGAATCTGCCTTTCTACAAGATTCAAATCAATCATTTTATGGCCCAGGATGACTCACCTGGTGCCAGGATTATCTCAAAATACATCTTGTGGGTCAGGGGCCTGGTGCCATTCTCTGAGTTTTGAGACATTCCTTTCTTTCATTAACAGGCTGCTAGTAACTAGCTAACATCCAGCTAAAGACTAGTAGGTGGGTATTCTTTCTGCTCCCTTCTGATGTCTATGTCAGAAGCTTTCTCTTTCTCCTTTATGCTTTAATAAAACTTTATTACACAAAATCTCTGAGTGATCAAGCCTCGTCCCTGGCCCCGGATTGAATTCTTCTCTTCTGGAGGCCAAGAGTCCCAGCATCTTCCGTGGTTCAGCAACAACCTTTCACCTGTTGACCTCTTGTCATTCACACTCGTGTGTATGTCCCACCTCTTGAATATGAGTGGGACTTATTGATGCCTCTAAGGAGTTAGAATAGGGCAGAAATGGTGGGATGTGCCTTGTGAGATTACATTGTAAAAAGATTATCGCACTGTCTTGGTATCGTTTTCTCACTCTCTCTAGGGTAACTCATGCAGGGGGCGAGGTACCAGGTGGGAACAGTCAGTCCCCAAGGAATCAGGCCCTCAGTCTCTCATCAACCTGCTTGAAGAGCTGAAGCCTCCCCCAGCAACCGCATACAGGAGCTTGTAAGGGGAGCCCTTCCAATCAAGGCTTCAGATTAAACTGCTGTCTCCAACCACCAGTATGATTGCAACTCTGTGAAAGGCCTCGAACCAGAGGCATCCAGCTAGGGCACACCTGAATTCCTGACCCACAGGAGTGAGATAATAAATGTTTGATGTTTTCGGTCACTTAAGTTTTGTGGTATTTGGTTACCCATAAAAAATAATACAAGGACAGCGATTCCCCTGGTTGTCCAGTGGTTAAGAATCTGCCTGCCAATGCAGGAGACACAGGTTCGATCCCTGGTCTGGGAAGATCCCACATGCTGCTAAACAACTAAGCCGAGTGCCACAACTGCCAGGCCTGCGCTCTAGAGCCCATGAGCCACAACTACGGAAGCCCGCACACCTAGAGCCAGTGTTCTGCAACAAGAGAAGCCACTTCAGCGAGAAGCCTGTGCACCGCAACTAGAGAAAGCCTGTGTGCAGCACAAAGGCCCAGCACAGCCAAATAAATAAGCCCTTAGTGTTTTAAAAAAGCAAAATAAAATAATACAAGGACAAAGGCCATTGGGGACCCTTGAGAAATTTCACTTTACAGGTGTACAAACTGAAGAACAGGAGGAGGGAAATCATTTCTATAAGTCCAGAAACTGAGATAAAATCGCCAAATCCTCTTACTGTCTGTTGTCTTTCTCATTTTTACTCTTTCCACTGGCTCTTCATTTCATTGGAAAAGACCCTGATGCTGGGAAGGATTGAGGGCAGGAGAAAGCAACAGAGGATGAGATGGTTGGATAGCGTCACTAACTCAATGGACATGAATTTGAACAAACTATGGAGATAGTGAAGGACAGGGAAGACTGATGTGCTGCAGTCCATGGGGTTGCAAAGAGTTGGACACTACTTAGTGACTGAACAACAACAACAGGCTCCTCACATTGTAGATGAGTGGCAGGGCCTCTGAAGCAACCTGTTGTTATATGATTCCATCAAGTCCTCTGGAACCTCATTCATTCATTCAGGGTTTTTTTGTTTGTTTAAGCATCTACTAATTTACTTTGTGCTAGGAATTGTTCTGGGCTCCAGAAATATAATAGCATAAAAAACATAATAATCCTAGCCTTCATGAAACTTTGATTTCTGTTTCCTTGTTCCTGAAACAAGGGTGTTCAAGGTGACCTTACTAGGTGACCTGTAAGTTCACTCCAGACTTTGAGTCACTCTCCTGTTTCTTTTCTGCCATCCTAAGCATCAGGCAACAAGGGCAACTCTAAGCAGCCTTGAGGATGCCAGTGAGATTACCTTTCTGGTTTGGGTTCAGGATGTCTACAGAGATGCTCCATAAGCCCAGAAAGGCATCTGGCAGGAGGGACGGGCCCATTTACACTGTTCTCACGGATGACCATGTAGAGAATGGCAAACAGGTCCTGGGCAGGGGGTGGGGGGAGGGGGGGCGGTGCAGGGATTTATTCGGTTCATGCAGTGAGCCAGGAGCAGGGTCAGGGCTCCTATTCATCATCACACTGTATCCTGTATCAGGGTGAGTGGCAGGGTCACGCATAGTGTCACTGTCATTTCTAGATGAGCAAATGGGTTCAGAGAAGTGAGACTTGCCCAGAAAAACAGTAGAGTGAAGCTGTTTGCAGTTCTCTGGGGAGTGTGTGGCTGAACTACACTGACTCCATCACAGGCCCGCAGCCCTACACCATCCCTTTTCTGTGTAACTGCGCTTTAGCCTACTCATAAGAAGTGCACTCAAGCCAGGTAAATTCTCTGTCAGACTTTACCCTTGCCTTCATCCCATATGAAAACTGCAAGACTGCCTTTTGCTGATGCAGATGGTTAATGGCCACAAAACCGCCAACCCCCCACTCCGGGGTGGAGGATACCACTGCCTTTCCGTCCATGAGGATGTACTCCTGAGTAGTCACATTCTGTTTTTAGCTTTTGCCCCTTTAAATCTCCCTGTACCCCTTTCGATGCCACTGTGAATGCCTCTGGATCCTCCATCTACTAGATCTTTCCCGCCTGTATGTAAGTTACCCATAGTAAAGTTCTTAAGTGCAATTTATATGGAGGTACGCACTTCTGTTTTTGTTCTCAAAGTTCTTTTTCACTTCGTAGGATATTCAGCCTCTCTGCCTCCCATCCACCAGGTACTCAGAGGTGATGCTGAGGGAAAGACTCGGGCTGGAATAGAATCTCAGTTTACATACTCAGGGCTTTCCTGACAGCTCAGTTGGTAAAGAATCCGCCTGCAATGCAGGAGACTCCAGTTTGATTCCTGGGTCAGGAAGATCTGCTGGAGAAGGAATAGTATTCTATTCCCACTCCAGTATTCTTGGGCTTCCCTTGTGGCTCAGTTGGTAAAGTATCCGCCCGCAATGCGGGAGACCTGGGCTTGATCCCTGGGTTGGGAAGATGCCCTGGAGAAGGGAAAGGCTACCCACTCCAGTATTCGGGCCTGGAGAATTCCACGGACTACAGTCCATGGGGTCGCAAAATGTTGGACACGACTGAGCGACTTCCACGTCCACATCCACTATACACACTTTCAGTGAAGTCCTTCCCAGGGAGGTTGTGTGGATCTAAAGAGAATGTATGGAGAGCGCTTTGAGAACACAGGAAAGAGCAAAGCCCAGCAGAAGATGGACTCTTTTGTCAGGTTTAAGGAACGAGAAGGAAGGAGAAGGAGAGCTCCCATTCGCTAACCCGGCAGCTGAGTTCTGGAGGAAGGCAACTCCCGGGCACCGCCCCCTCACCGAGACCCCGCCCCCTTACCAGCTGAGCTGCGCCCCCTGGTGGATGAGGAGGCTTAAGGTGCTGCATCCTAGCACCAGCAGCAGGATTTTCCTACGGCTCATCTTGGTGGCCTGCTGCAGGCGCTGGAGAATGGGCGGCATGATGGGGTACCCACCCCTGGACCAGCCAGGGCCTCACTATCCAGGACTCCCTTCGCCGGCACTCATGGGGGCTCCTGGGGCTCCGGTAGCAAGGCCAGTGTTCCTGTGAGGCCTGGCAGGAGAAGGAGGAAAACAGGTTTGTAGCGGGCAGAGGCGATGGGCGCCGAGCCCCAACAGGACTGCTGCAAACGAGAGCTCCGAAGGGTGGGGTGTGCAGAGAGGCCAGGGAAGATCAGATTCCTACCTCCTGTTACCATGACCCCATCTCCACGGTGCTCCAGATAACTCAGTCTTGGGTGGAATTACAGGCTCTGGGGTCTGGCCAGCCCTTCAGGCTATAGCCACTCCCTCCCTTGAGCCAGGTCTCTGCTTCTCTGCCTGCCCCTAATTCGTCTTTGTCTCATGGCCATTTATGTCTGTCTGAGCACCAGCGCCTGGCTTAGCACAGAAGTCTCAATTCAGGGTTTCCTCTCCTACAGGACTCCTTGCCTGACTGCTTCTTCAGCCAGGGGTTAGTCTCGACTCCCCAGACACTGAGCTCCTCAGAAACACTGACCAGGCCTTCACCTTCTTGAGTCTCTGATATGAGGAAGAGGCTTACTATATGTATTATACGACTGCACACTTAATTTCATCTAATCCTCACTGCAACCCTAACATAGGTGTTCCCATTTTACAGACAAGGAAACTGAGGCTCTAAGGACTGGTGTCACTTATCTGGGTCGCACAGCTGGTATTAGCAGGATCTGGATTCAGATCTGCTTCCAGATACTTCCGGCTTCAGAGTCCATGCCCTCAGACAGCATGTGTGCTGCTTCCACAGAGAACTGATTTCCCCATCCCTGCCCCGGACTCTGCAATTCCGCATACCTCTGATCCATGAGGGAAAGAAAGGAAGGACCTGCGATCCTGGAACTCTAACTGAATTCCATCCCCAGACACCTGAAACCCTGGCTGCCCCGTCGGCTGATGGCAGTGAGAGGTGCCTGGCCAAGGAAGAGGGTGGCCGCCTGGGAGTTGGGAGGGGAATGCAGGAGGCTTCCTGCTCATTGCCCTACAGAGATTCTCCAAGGGAAGATGGGCCTCCATCCCAGCTGAGCAGCAAGAGCGAGAGGCAGGAGGAGGGCCTGGTGTCTGGCCAGTCACTTGTCCCCGCATGAATGTGTTAGCTCAAGGGCACCCTGACCCTTGGCAGCTTCAGTGGAAAGGCAGCTTCAGTGGCAATGCCTGTCCCCCGGTAAGGGTGGGGGTCTCTGTCTTGGGGCCCTCCGTCTCCAGGTTCAGGTTTGGCTTCATCCTCGCATGCACCCCTCTCCAAAGGGAAGGGGGAGCCTGGAACCTTCTGGGCACGTGCATGTGTATGGAACTAGGACACCTCGGTCTCAGGAGGGTTGAAGTAATGTGAAAACTCTTTGACCATGACCTTCCCCTGGGCTTGGCTTCCAGTCCTTCTCCTTTAGCTCCCCCCTCCCCCTAATTAATCCTGGATTACATTGAAACCTGTTGGGGTGTAAAGATGTCCAGGTTATGCCTTTCTCTTCTCTCCAGGCCCCCTTACCTGGTTTCCTCCGCCAGCCTGCAGACAAACTTAATCCTCCCGGAGCCAAGGGATGTGAAGCACCCAGCCACAGAGGGCAACCAAGGGCGCAGCAGAGAAAGCCTAAGATCCCTGTCTTCAAGGACTGCTGGGGCGGAGGAGGGCTGCCGCTGCCCGTGTGAAGCACCAGCACCAGGGAGTCAGAGCCCTCTCAGGACACACAGCTTCTCCCCTGTCACTTATCCTGCCAAGAGGACTTGGTGACCAGGCAGGACTTTCCCACTGGGGCCACATGGAGGACCACCAATTTCCATCTTTGCTCAACTCACTGAAACCAGCCTTTTTTTTTTTTTTTTTTGCAATAGAAATTACACAAATGGTTCATTTACTAAAACAGTAGAAAAAGGTGAAGAAACATACATTAAAGCACATACACTCAGGAGCTAACATCCAAGATTACATATATTCTAAGTTGCTGAAACCAGTCTATTTTTCAGAGACTCCAGGTCAGCCCAGGAGATCAAGCCTGGGGACAGCTACAGTGGGACTTTGCCTGGGAGATGCTTCAACCAGGCCATAGGGAGAAAGGTGATGGGGTGGTTGGTGGTGCCCTCCGTCCCATCCCCGCCATGGCCTAGCCCTGGGGAGCCAGCCAGTCTGAGGCCTGCCGGGTACAGGGTATCATCCGTCTAAGAATGAATGCCAGTCCTCCAAGGTAGGCAGCAGCTTCTGCATGTTCCCCGTCCATGATTGGAGGCTCGCTGCCTGCAGATACAGCCTGGGTTGTTTCTGAGCAGCCTTGGCTGTTTCAAAAGTTCTTTCTGGGACAGCTGGACTCAGCCTACTGCTGGTTGCGCCCTCCTTGGCCTGTCCCCTTCCACCTTCCACCCCGAGCAACTCGGGGTTGCTCATGCTGCCCTGCTAGGCCGCAGGAACCCTGGAAGTTTTTTCTCCATGACAGACCTTCAGGTATTTAAAAGCAGTAACCCTGTCTCCTCTGGGTGGGCACTCGGCCAGGCTAAACATTCCAGGTCCCAAGAGAGGGTGCTGCTCAGACACCCGAGGAGCTGGGTGCTCCTTTGCTTGGCAAGTTCACTCCGCGATGCCGGCTGTGGACACGGGGTCAGGCCGCGGCACCCGGGAAGGGGGCCACCTGGGGCTCTCGGTTTCCCTCCGTAACCCCTAGGTCAGTGGGGGTGGGTGGCAGTCTGCTGCGATCAGAATTGAGAGCAAGGGCCCTGGCTCCTGCCTCTCACATGTTTCAGACTTCTCCTGGCCTCCCCTGTGTCTTCTCCGATGAGAGTTTCCCTCAGTCGTGTCCCAGACAAGTCAGGGTGCCCGGGCTCGTGAGAAAATCAGTGCTAATTTTAGTCTGAACAATCTACCGCAGGCTGCCGCCCGGTTTTGCAAATTGCTTTCCTTTCTCCAGGGAACCAAAGGAGAAGTGGCTTAGCTGGCCAAAGCTTTGAAAACTGGTCTAGATGCCCACCCACTGCCACACAAGCCCTCTGCTCGCTCCCTGGGGGCCTTAGGGCTGAGATGGGTGCCCTTGGAGGAGGAGGGTGCGCTGGCCCCCACCACCTGGACCTGACCCTCGGGTGACCTGGAGACTGCCTCTTTACTGAGGATGGCACCGCGGGGTGAAGAGGGCAACTGCCCCCTGCACTGAGGAGGAAGGGGCCCTGGGCAGAGTGGCTGCACACTAGTGGCCCAGGAGATGAAATGTCTTTCCAGCTCCCTCTTTTCCTTCCTTTCTTACCCACCAGCCTTCGCCAGGTCACCCCGCCCCCCAGTCCCCTCTGCCTGTCATCCACGGCCACCTCCTCCCTGCCTCTGATTTCCCTTCATCCTCCTCTGTCCATCACTGCCCCCCACCCTCCCAGCCCCCATTCCCTCAATTGGATGCCAACCGCCCCCAGGGATCGGGTCAATGGGATCTGGTCCCCAATGAGGGATAGGCCAGCGTCGCGCTCTCACCCATTCCTCTCCTGCTCTGCCGGGGGCCAAGAGCCCCCCTCCCTCCTCATGCTCTTCAGGCGCCGGCCTCCAAGACACTCTCCCGCCCCAGCCGGCATCCCTCATTCAGGTCCGGTCCACCCCCGCCCCTCCAGCCCCAGGCCGGCCGCTGCAGTACTCACGCTGACCGGACTCTGCCTGGACCCGCGTGGAGGGGGGTCGCCCCTGTCTCCCCAGACCTTGCGGTGAAATCCGCTGAGGGTCCGAGGGCGTTGGGGGCCCAGCGCGCAGAGTGCTGGTCGCTCGCTGGCCTCTGAGCGCTGGGATGGGATCAGGTGGCAGCGTCGGCCCAGCTCCGCTGCTCTTGGCTCAGCCCGCTGCCCGCCCCCCATCGCACACCGGAGGCGGAGGCGGGGCGGGGGCGGGGGCGGGGGCCGGCGAGCAGGGGAGGGGGAGGGGCAGAGTGGGAAGAGGAGGGGGCCGCCCGCGGGACTCTCTCCCAGGGGTGTCTTAGAATGCGGGCATCTTCCCTGGGCCGTCTGGCAGAGTCTGGACGCCAGGGGGGTCAGCTGCTTGCCCTCCCACTACGGAAGGGGAAACTAAGGCCTGGAAGGTGTCTGGGCACTCCAGCCTTGCTGGGCATTCCCGGGCCCCCACTGGTTACCCTTGGCCGGGTCGGTCCTAGGGGAATTAAGAGACACAGGTACATGCACAAGTCCCCACATGCTTTCCGCCCACCCCCTTCTCCTCTTTCCACCTCCAGCAGGGAAATACCTTCCAGCCTGAGGTCTGGTTCCATCTGTCCTCATACCCCTGGGGACCCCTTCCATTCCAGTCTGCCACTGACCCTCTCCTCCGCTGCACCAGGAGTCCGGATGCACTTATTCCTGGCCAGAGTTTTCATGGACCCGGGACCCCTGCCTGGGCAGTCTGTGCTGGGAATCACAGAACTCAAGTTCAACCTGGGGTGAACTTAAATTCTAGGGTTAAGAGGCAACTCCCTGGACCTGGTTGCTTCCAGCTCTACTATAGGGAGCTGTTTGTGGAGCTGTTCTGAGGCTGCAGAGATGACCCATGTGAAGGCTCTGTGAGAATAGTCCTGACTTTTCTACTGCCTTCTTAGTTCTCCGCTCCAACCACCTGGGAGCTGAGTCCTCCTAGACACCCAGAGCCCCACATTGAGTTACGTGGTTCTCATGAACCCCTGCTTTTCTACTGCTGTCTCTGCCTGGTGTGGCCAGGATCCTGGAGCCGAGGCAGCCACCCAAAGCTGGGGCTGGAAGGGACTGGATTCCATTCTAGACCCACACAGATTCATAGGTGTGTGTGAAGGTCCTCACTAAGCAGAAGGGAATGGGGAATCTCAGAGTCAGGAGAACTGCTTGTGATGCGTTTGGTCCCTTGGGGATGTCAGTCTTCCCTTCTGCACAACTGGAAGAGGGTCATATCCTGTCCAGGTCCCAAGGCTGTTATCATCAAATGAACACCCCGCCTGGCCTGTCCCTTT